CATGGTTCATTATGTCAGTGGCCAAAAACTTCCTGTTGATCAGACTCGCATGTAAGCAGTGGATAGAGATAAATCGATTCTTAAAGGTCAAACTAGCCATTACTCAAAGCATCGTATTGTTGCCTTGGGGTATGACGAGTTGGCAAGATAGTGCCTGGATTGTAGAGGTGGGTTATGGCATGGCACCTTTACAAGATGCTGCTTGTTGTGTTATGCTGTAGTTTTATTTTCAAAACTCACCGTTGAGGTTGTAGTCTCTGATCCTCCCAGTCGGTAGGTAAATGGGGACGTAGTCTCCCTTTCATAGAGTAGAAGGGAGAGGCGGGCAGGTAGAGACCCTGTGTCCTCACCAAACAGTAGACTTTCTGAGGGACTGGCAAAGTATAATTTGTCATCTGTGAAAAGCGTTTGCGTTTGACAGCTTTTCTCAGGAAGCCTGTCAATGTGATAATTTAATGAGTACAGATTGCTTGCACCACAGCTGTAAAGCATGCTTTTACAATGCTATAAAATAAGAAAGTAAGCCTTTGTCTGTGCACTTTGAGAACAAACCAACTGCTAACACAAGCGAAAGGTGGTCATTTATTTTGCCTGGCAAACAGTTAAGACAGAGGAGAGGAACTTGCATTACTTTTCTCAGGGTGGCAAGGTTCATTCCAGGGTGCACCATAGCTTGCTAATCAGCTTGGTAACGGCTGAGAGGCAGAATTAATATCTAACTAAATGGAGTGAGTTTCTTGCAAGAAGGGTGGTGAAGACTTTTCTGAAACACAATGGGAAGAACTCGACTTTCCGAGATAAATCCTCCGCCAGTGGGGTGCGGAGAGAAAAGGGCCGTATCTTCTGTTCTCCCCAGCGTGGATGCCAAGGGCCAAAAACAGTAGAGTTCCTCATTGCAACCCCTTTCCCCTGTGCCAACAGCGATCAAAATGTGTCTTTCATTAAATCTCTGCTGCTAAATGCATTAGAAGTGCTGGTGCGATGGGTGCGACAGGATACGGGCATAAAAAAGATGGTCTTTGCTGAACAGTTACTGGCATGCTCTTCAGCAACTATCCACCATTCGAGCCACATGCTATTATTCTGCATATTGTTCCTCCTATTGCTTCTCACGTTACTGCTACCCTGTTCTGTTCTCTACCCTGTGTCTCTAAGATGGTGCTAGACCTCCCTCATTCACACCGGTGCCTTCCAACAGCCCCTTCTACAAGCGCAGTTCGGTCCTGACACCTCCGCATAATAAGCTCAGCGTCCTCAAAGCTGCTTGTAGGAGTCCTGCTGCCTGCGCTGCCCAAATATCAACCGCCCCTCTAAATAGACACGTAATCGGATCCTGCAGCATGCCTGCCATTTCTTATTTTTGGCCACGGAGCACTTTGTTTTGCAGGGCTCTCCGCTTCACCGGGGACTTGCGTATCTTTTTACGTGACATCTGTTGCTTTTCTCTGTTTTCTTGTTCGTGCCCTTTAATTGGGAGAGAGTCAATTAACGTCACATGGGCAACTTACCCACCAGCACGTCTGTTGAAATTCCAGGAGAGCTCTCAAGTCGGTGCCATATCCCTCTTCTCCCCCCCCGCCCCTGAAGTTGTCACTGCGTTTTAGTTCGTGGGCTGTATTGCCAGGTAGTGTTTGCAAGCCTGTTTTAAGGGAGGGACTGCGCTGTGGATTTCCTTGCAGCAGGTGAGACCAGCTGTGGTGATGACAACAGCTTCATTAGCATGTTTATTCCAGTGCTTGAAGTTGAACTGTGGCCTGTAGAGATGGTGGCGTTTTCGTGTTTTGCACCCCTGTCTCCCCTCCATTTGGGAAACAGCGTTTCAGAGCAGCCTCTTTTCTAAATATTAAGTTCTTGGCATTGCAAACCATCGCAGTAACTTGTGCTTACGTGGTCCCTTTCTGGCAAGGGTCTCTGCCATTTTGTTTTTACTCAAGTGGCTTTAGGTCCCGTTAGCAGATGGGGAAAGTGAGGCACAGGACAGGGAAGTTGCTTTTCCATGGCCGTACGTGGGATGTAAGTATAGCCGGGAGCAGACTCTCGGCCTCTGCTCAGTCCGAGTGCCTCATGCCCGGCATTTGTTGAGCAACCAACTGGTGGGTTGGTAGACATTTTGGAATTTACCACTTTTATTGTCAGGATGTCTTAATCCCTCATTTCCTTTCTTTTGGCGAAGGAAGGTTGCTATTTGCAAGACTGCAGACGTGAAGACTTTTGCTGCCAATTGGAATCCGTTTCTCAGCGTAACGGATACATCTGGGAGCCAAGGCACCCCCTCCTCTTCCCCAAATAAAAATCGCTGCATGTTTCTAGGGAGCAGAACTGTTTTAACAGTTACAATATATATATTTTTTCAAATCTAGTTTTTTAATATTTCTTAAGCAACCCCGTGCCGGTTTGCAAAGAAATGAGTTGCGGGCCATGTTTAAATAGGCCACGGGGGTAAGACTTAAATAGGCCATGGGGGTAAGACTTAATTACTCAAAATGATTTTCCTGGCTTAAAACAGTGCCCTACACTATCATTTGATTGACAGTTGGGATCGTTTAGTGCTTTCTCACATAAGTGTCATTTAAAAAATATAATCCTTTCTGAAGAGTTTCCTGATGCATCTGGTAGCAGCGTGCCCAGGACAAGGGTGTATTTAAACAAACAGTCTTCTTGGTGATATTAAAGAGTCTGAACAAATCTGGCAGATGGGGGTGCAGGGAGGAAGTAAGCTTTCAGAATGATTAAGTGAATTAGAAATTAATATACACCAAACTAATCTCGATAGTATAAACTCAAGTGAAAAATCTTCCTAGACAGGAAATGCCAGTCATGGGAACTGAAGTAGAGGTTCATGCTGATATTGGACAGAGGACATGTCGGGTGTTTGAAATCAATCTCCTCTTCCCTGGATCATTTCTCTTGTACTCCTAAGAGGCTGCATTATATACAGCTATGTCAACCACCAAGCCCCATGACTTTGTTAATAAGGAACTCAAAGAATGTTTCAGTTTTTCCAGAAAATGTTCTGTGTGTTAGTCTTTGTTTGTACTGGAGCACTTTGAAGACGAAAATCTGAACTTCAGCATACTTCATACATTTTAACAAGGTTTAAATTCAAACCGGGCCAAAAATATCCCCCCACCCCCCCAAGTCCAATCCTCCTAACAACTTCTGACTCTAAACATTACTCCTTTGAGGATTAAAACACAAAGGTGTGTTTTAGTAAAAATTATTTATTGAATATGAGTCACAGACAAGCCCAGGTCAGAATTTTAAATTGCTAGTGGTTTGCAGAAAAGTGTTTCCCAAGTGGCATAAGGGAAAGCGGGTAAATCCACGCCCAGGCATTCATGCGTCCCAAGATAACTACCATCCTTTTTAGATTTGGAGCGGCAACAACCCTGCACTCGCATTGCATCTGGATGTTTGGATGCGTTCTCACGCCCCATCCTTCATTGTTGCTTTTTCTCCCTTTTACACTACCTTCACCAAAATTGTACTTACCTGTCCAAAATAGGGTGAGCAAAATTTTGGTTTGGCAAATCCGTGTAAAATCATGTAGTCTTTGAGAAGTTCAGTGATCATGTTTTTTCCCCCCCATGGCTCCCTTGCAGTACATAGGTACCTGCATCTACAGAAAAAGTAGTATGGTACCAAAATTGGGGGTTGAACTTGATGATCTGCTTAGGTCCCTTCTGACCCTACCAACTATGAAAATGGTCACAAACGTAAATTGGTTTTGTATGTACAAACCCCAGGTTTGCATATCTCTATCTAGGCCGCCAAGCCAAACTTTTTATGGTTATACCATTCCTTGATCAGAACAAATAAATGCTATCTTCCTCCCTCCTTTGAAAAGTGTTGCCATTTCTTCAGGGACAGATTTGGTCACGGTTTTTTACTGTAGTCATTGAGCAACGTGCTCCATGTGCACACGTTGCATTGCACCACCTCTTTTTATAGGTAGGTCTTAAATGAAGTAAAGTGGAGGTAAGTTTTCCCATGCAATGGGTGCCTTTGCTGCCAGCCCTGGTTTAGCATTGTTAAAAAAATGCACACTGATTCCATCATGTCCCCCAAGCTCAACAGCATCTGTTATGCTCAGTAGATGGACGAGACTTTTTTGGAAGGGATAAGTATTGTGATTCATGAGTTGGACACTTATTTGTGAACCAGTTGGTTGAGTGTCTTGCTGGGAGTCGTGGAACTGCTGCGGGGACTGGTTTTTGACCAGGATGAAAACAAAGATCCTATGTGTTTGCCTGGGTTAAAAAGTCCTTCGGCTGTTTTGGGAGAGTTGTTAGCTCTCGACTCTGGGACAAATTCCAGCCTGTTAAGGGTATTGTAGCTTTTTGTACTCCAGCAAACATCTCATGGCCCATTTTTCTGGAGGTTGCATGTATGTTGTAAGAGGGAGTGTTTGTTGTCAGAAGTAGAAGGCAAGGAGAGGAGTCCCAAATTTGTTTTTAGTTTTAAAAAAATTCTTATTAAAAACCCCCCAACCCCAAACAAGCCAAATTTTTTGGAGCAAGATGTGATTTAGTTTTGTTTTTGAACTCATGGGGTGGAGAGTCCTGGGCTGGAAGAGCCATTGGTTGTGGACACCCATTTTAAATACCATTTTTTGTTCAGGCTAGTCTGTTTTTTTTCCTAAACAAAGTTTTTTTAAAAGGACAATTGAAACTTAAGTAACTGCTGTGTTTTTCAACTTTGCTGCCTCTTTGCTTTGATATTCAATGAAGCATGGAAAGGGATTTCACTCATCCATGTCTTAGGATCTGTTCTTTTCATTTATGAAATATTGAACAAAAATTATAAAATGGGAACCACTCCTCAAGGAGAGATTTCAGCATTTGACTCCTGCCTTAGTGCAGCCTCTTAGCTTTCAGCTCTGTGCACCAGGTAGCCCTGGTGCATGGAGTTGTTCAAGGCATTATTTGAAAAGCTTGTAAAATTGCAGATTGCTTCACCTGAAATCCATTGACCATGGGCTTTTGTTGATCTTTCCCCAGAGTTCTTCAAAGAACTGCTTGGAAATGCCGAGAAATCCTTGAACGACATGTTCGTGCGAACGTACGGCCGTCTGTACATGCAGAACTCGGAGCTGTTCCAGGATCTCTTTCTAGAGCTGAAACGTTACTACGTGGGTGGAAACGTGAACCTGGAAGAGATGCTCAACGACTTTTGGGCGCGCCTCCTGGAACGCATGTTCCGGTTAGTGAACCCTCAGTACCATTTCACGGACGAGTACCTGGAGTGTGTGAGCAAGTACACGGAGCAGTTGAAGCCATTTGGAGACGTGCCCCGGAAGCTAAAGCTGCAAGTGACACGAGCGTTTGTGGCTGCCCGCACTTTTGCACAAGGCCTGGCCGTGGCCAGAGATGTCATTTCCAAAGTGTCCGCGGTGAGCAAAAATTGGTGCTTGATCTCTTAACCTCTTGCATCCTAGCTGGTATGGCGTTGGGGTATGGCATGGTCCACTCTGGCCCTCGTTTGTCCAAGCGCTTAAGCATGCAGTTAACTTTAAGCACGTGCGTAAGTGCATCGATAGCTTCTTTCTGTTTGAAAATGGACAAGAGCGCATCCCACCAGGGCAAAGTTTGGGTGAGTTGTTGAGTGTGATGCTGTTATGATCTAGGGAAGCTCCATGGCTGGAGATCATTCCCTCATGTGGGAATTAAGGATAGAGTAGTTGGTGTTGCCTCGTCTACTCGCTTTGTTCTATCTGCATTTCAGGGGCACATTGGAGATTCATCTGTTCTGGAAAGGAAATTGTTGCTTGTGCTACGGTGGCACCCAGGAGCTCTCAGGATGGGACCGGGGTGTTGCCTACATGATATAAATTAAGCTTTCAACTTCTGTTGTAGAGAGCTTGAAAGAATTCCTCCTCTGGAACAAAGCCTGCTCCTGGGAGTATGGCTTTTATCAGTTGGTTTTCTTAACCTTCAGTTTGCATTGCATTTTCATGTGTGAATGGTATCGGTCATTAAAAGGTTATTTCTTGACTACGTTGGGGTGGTTTAAGCAAGCACTTTTTTTTACACAAGTTTGTAGTGTATTTGAACCTGAATTATGCAGTATAGGGAACAGATTGATTAGATGGTCTTGTTAAAATGACCATGTATAGTAGTAGTGTCATTGTTGTTATTAATGCTGTTCTTATTCATAATAATAGTGATAACAACCACCATAGTAATAGTAATAATAATAATGATAGTAGTAGTAGTAATAATAATAGTGGTTTCCAGTCAAACAAAAATTCAATTCATTTCCCACAGCCTGGAAAATCTAATATCAACATTTAATCACACAGGGGGGCTTCTCTTCCTATCTATGTGGTTACAAGTGCCTGGTTCACTTGAAAGCTTGTTAAGATACAAAGCCAGATAGAAGAGTTTGAATCACACTGAGTGACGGACGTGTTAAAAAGCCACTTTCGATATCCTGCAGGCTTTCTTAAAAGGAGAAATGCAATATGGGGAGCAATGCAAACAGTATCTTTTGATGATGTGGTAACCATTCAGATTCTTCCATATTAATATTCAGCAGTCCTAAAAGCTGTTGCCGTACTCATTTTTCTTAAGCAACCCCTCCCACCCCCCACAGGCAACAAAAGTACCCTGCGAGGAAGCTGTGTGCGTGATGGAGATAAAATATTAGTAAGGAAGCATACTATGCTCCAGATTTCAGTGGGGGGTTGCAGATGTATGGCAAGCAGTCATACTTATTTGGACACCTTCACTGTTTGTTTTTTGCTAGGATTAATGCTTTACATACATTTCCCCCTTGCCGTATTGCTTCTCTGTCGCAAAGGTTAAGTACGGTGGAGCAGTACACAGCAAAATCTTGACACTTCTCAGTTGATGATAAACTACTTGCATTCAACTGTCAGTCTGCAGAAGAAATAAAGTTTCCCATAACTTCAAGTGAAATGCCCAAGGATTGAACGGGAGAGGGTGAGGCTGAGCTGCTGTACTCCTTTTCAGGTCAAGCATCAGACCTGTGGTCTGGGTCAGATGGAAGAAAGTTTGTGTTTCCTGGGTGGGCATAGGGTTTCAGTTTTGGTGGTTGCCTTTCTGGTATCTTGTATCCTTATTACATTTACTGTCAGTATTCCTGGGAGGGAAGGACAGGGAAAATGGAGAGAGGCTTTTGGGGGCATAGGTTGTAGCCATGTTGGTTTAAGGACATAGGCAGACAAGAACCAAGGGGCTTTTGGTACATTGAGTCCGTGTTGGTCCATGGAGCCGGTTGGGTTTTTTGTACTAAAGCTGACTTCAGTGGCCGGTCTCTGACCTAAGCAGCGTGGTATGCTTGGGCAAAGAGTTTGGGAACGCGCCTTTACTTGATAGAGACAGGGAATGTGTCCAAGGGAGAGATTTTTCTTTATCTTTTTTTATTGCATCTGCTCAAAATTCATCAAAATGTCTTTAGGCACAACACTGTATATAGTTCCTGCCTCTGTTGTGAATCAAACTCAAGGTGGCATCGTGATTTTTTTTTTCTTTGAAGCTACTTGAGTATAGAATCGCATTGAAGTCTATGATGAATTGCTTGGGTTTACGAAGGGATCCAGGAAAATGTTCAGCTGCAAAAATAGCTTCCACTCCATAGAGAATTAGTGTTCCCAGGATTTCCACTTAAATTTTAGAAGTTACCACTGCAAATTAGACAACTGAAAGAAACCCATGTTGATAATTGCCATTCAGTCAAATGGCAAAGTTAGTTGCAATGCTGGAAGATGTAATATTTTTCCATGACATTTTAGTCTTGTTCTACAGAAACATAATTTGTGTTTCAGCAAAATGTGGTTGAAAACTGTTATTGAGATTAAAACTTTAATATTTTGCTACATCGCTCCCTTAACAGATTGTTGGGTGGCCCTGGATCTTTTTTTTTGCTTTTTCATCTTATTTATAGGTTACTTCAATGTTACTGAGCTCCATATAACTGTTCTGTTGACTTTTGTTGTTTGCCTACTATTTCATTCATGTGAGAGGAGATGAGATGTGCTTTATAGTGAGGATGAACTTTTTATGTGACAGAGACATGTCTTTTATTTCTGTTGTTTAAAAACAGACAAAGTAGGAAAAGCCGGCACTGCTTTCTATGCTCTCCCTTTTTTTTTTGTAACCAGCAGACAGAAAAATGCTTACTTGAGAATTCGCTCGACGAGGCCAACGCAGGCACGCACGCTTGATGCTGTGCAGCCCAGCTGTTCCTTCCCTTACGCATAGTGCTCTACAGTAGCGTGGTCTGTATGACTTTTTAATTACACTATATCTTTTCAGACCTTTTCTGCGGGAAGTAGATGCACCTGGAATGTAATATTCTTGTAGGGAGGAGGAAGAAGTGATATGGAGAGGCTTCGTTTTGAAGCACAAAAATACAAGAAGAGAAGAGAAGTAATGAAACTTTTTCTTCCTGAGCTGAGCATGCTGGGAAGTTGTATGGTGCTGCCCTGTGCTCTTAAAAGAGAAATGCGGCTCTTCTTCCTCTGAAGTTGGAGGAAATCCACCGCTGAGGTTTTCCACCTTCTGGCCCAAGGTCTGAAGTCCCCCAGATCTGTCCTGAACCGTAAGCATTGCCCAAGAGGAAGAGGCAGGTGTCATTTCTGCCTGCCTGGGTGCAGATGGATGTTTTACTGAGTCACTGATTTTTGGTTTTTTTGCCCTGTTGGCTGTGAACAATTATAAAAGTCGGCGTCTGATCTTTATATCATCTCTTGGAGATTAGTACTTTCTTCCCAACCCTCGTTCCCCTGAGCGGTGGGGGAGAGCAATCCAGTCATCCTGCAATTACTCGGTTATTACTGAGCCCCTGACAAGCATTAAACTCAACAGGGTTAAATTGCTGCCAAACGTTGACATTTCCTGCCTGGAACCATGAGGGCTTTTTCTGTCTTTCTTTTTTGCTT